AGTAAAGTCTCAATCAAAAAGAAAGTAGAAAACTTTAAAACAGGTCAAAAGGGAGACCAAATTACAAGATATTACATTTTAACCTAACTACATCTTCTATAATTAACTTTACAATGCTTCCGGTTTAATAACAAAGCTATTCACATTCCTTGACTGTGATCATAGGAGATTCACCAGAGACTTACTACATGTAGGAACCTTGCAAATAGATTTGGGGTTCCTACTACCATCCATACCCTCTTCAAACCAAGTGTTCACAATTAAAGCTCTGATATCATTCCTTCCTTCAGATTTGTTTTTATTATTTATAATCCTTGGATCACACAGGTTGTTGTACTTCTTCCATGCTGATTTAGTTGATGCCTCACTTATAAGGCTGCTTGTTTAAAGACAAGTCTTTAAGATATCGGACACAACTCTTTTTTGATAGCAGGGTACCATCTGGTTTCTTTTTCTTTTGATAGTAACAGCTAGTATTCATAAAAGGTTTTCTTTTGTTATTATTAATCATTTTACTGGGGTCTCTTATAGATCTTATAACAATCCATAATGCAATTGTATCAAGCATACTTGTACATATGTTGCCATCAACATTTCCAAATCATTTTCTTTTTTTTTTTTAGAGGTGTTTTTAGTCAACATTTTTGTTTTCTTTTTTCTTTTTTTAAAATCATTTTATTAGGGGCTCATACAACTCTTATCACAATCCATACATCAATTGTGTAAAGCGCACTTGTACATTCATTGCCCAACATTTTCTTTCTACTTGACCGTAGCACTTAACAAAAGAGTGATAAGCAAATCTTACTGGAAATTCAAGTCAAGACAGGGGTTGGGGCACATGTATGTCTCAGAGAACGTGGGTAACCGGGGGTGGGGTGGGGGTGGGGGAGCAATTTTCTATCAGGAAAAACTGCTTAATAATACTTATATAGAATCTAAGGGGAGAATACACTCATTACTATGGTCCTAATTGGCTACTTTTGACCTAGTTTCTATCCAGCCCCGGATGACCCAGGCTATGTAAAATCAACTACTGGGGCTTCTAGATTCTTTTTGAGGCACACAACATCTGTCATAGGCTACAGTAGAGGATTCAATGTGTAAACTCCACTAAGTGAACTGGGCTTTACCTCAAACTCACCTGTAGCAGATTTAAGGAACCAACATAATCCCTTGAACCTAAGACGGAAACATCTTAGTGAGTGAAGTATATGACTACAATCCCCAGGTTTTGGAACTGGCTATTGTTGACTTTGGTTTAGATCCTTGCTTTGAGAACACCCAATTAAAGGTGGCTTGGGACTATTATATATCCACTCTTTTAATGACCCACTTGCTTTCTTATGACATGTATTAATCTGGTAGGCATGGTTTTACTTTAGTGAATGCATGTGGAAAATTTTGCCCTAGCACCAACCTCCACTGTTGTGTAAATAGTGTTCAGTCACTTAAGAGTTTAATCTGTACAAATCAACAATTCAGGCTTTGCGGTCTTAAGGTGGCCTACATTTGTATAACTTCCTTTTCTCAAAAGTGTTCTAAAATCTATACCATTGAATTAATTAATGACACTATCAACAGAATTACCTTATGCCCTAGGTGATGATTTATAATGTTCTCTACTATAAAATGATAATTATGTCTACTGTAAAATGATAATTATGTCTCTAATGTGAACCGAAGACAAATAAAAATAGTAGGTATATGAATGGATTTGGGGCCCTTACTTAATTAGTTCTTATGACATGGTCCTGCTTGATTCTCACCCTTATGAAGACATCACTGAATATGTGGGTGCAATAGCAAAGCGTGTGGGTAAAGGGAGACAACAGATCATCTAAGATATGAAATAACAATATATAATGGATCAAGGATTCACGTGGGTCAAAGACTGGGGGAAGGAGGGCATAAAAGAGTAGCTGATACCAAAGGTGAGCTCAGCACAGTGTTGTATGGCAGCCGCTGAATGATCTTCTCCTGCTCCTCCACATCTTGAAAAACTGACCCCAATTGAGGTGAGGTCTCCTCTGTCGAGGTGCTTTTTAAGATGGATACATAAAGAGGGTGATATATGGTTCCTGGGCACTAATTAGACTCTCTACCTCATTGCTTGGGAGACCAGATTAGAAGTTGGTATTACCTGAGAGCAGAAGCCTGCCTTCATCTTGATGTTTATCCTTATAGTAAGATCCATACAATGTTTGTCCTTTTGTGATTGACTAACTTCACTTAGCATCATGGCTTCCAGGTGCAGCCATGGGATGGGGTATTTCATAATGTCATCGATGTATAATATTCCATATGTGTATGTACCAGAGGTTCTTTATCCATTCTTCTACTGAGACTTGCATGATGAACAAATATGTGAGGAAATGCTCGTGATCACTTGACATCAGGTTGATATAAATCAAAACAGCTATGAGAAATCACCTTATACACACATAATAGCCCAATTTAATAAAGAGAGAGAGAACAACAAATGCTGGAGAGGGTGCACAGATATTGGAACTCTTACACACTGCTGGTAGACTTGTAAATATGTACAACTATTGTGGAAAGTTATATGGTACCAGCTAACACACCTGGAAACAGAAATACTACACAACCAATACCTTTGCTGGGCACAGACCCCAAAGAAATGAGAGATAGAACACAAGCAGATATGCTCTCCCATTTTCACTGTAGCACAATTCACAATAGCCAGAAGTTGAAAACAGTCTAAATACCCATCAGTGAGTTTTTTTTATTTACTCCTCCCAACAACTCTTTAGAGTAAATACTATTTTTATTCATTTTATAAACAATGAAAAATGAGCCATGAAAAATGTTCCTTTGAGAGGAGCTCCTATGAGGTAATGACCTTTAGTGACCCTTCAGTTCTGGAAATTAACTCACCCCCATGGCTCAATTTTCAGCCAAATAATAGGTCTATAAGGGGAAAAATAATGCTAGAGAGGTATGAACACATTAGAATAATCAACCATTTGAGCTCAAAAGAGCGCCATTTATCCTAGGACAAAGTTCAGAAGGGCTAGGAAAGAATGAGAAATGGAAAAAGGAAATGATGGGAGTGGGGTAAGTGGTGTTACAGGGTAAGGCTTGCAAGCAATAACATAAACAACTTTTGTATGAATTGTTAAATGGAAAACTGATCTGAGCTTTGACTGAGCTTGTGAGCAACCATCTATAGTACAATTTTTTATCTCTCCCTTTGAGGGAATGAAGAATGCTGGAAATCAAAATATATGTGTAAACAGTCCAATGGACAAATCAATTGCACAAGCATCAGTTTTCATATTCCTGAAACTAGGAAGAACTAGATGGTGTCCAGCTACTACTACCAACTACCCAGAAAAGTATCACATTAGAAGGTCCTACGTAGAGAGAGATAAAAATGTAGGGAAAACCCTCAAAATCATAAATGAGACCAGACTCCCTGGTCTGAGGGGGACTTGTGGGTCTCCAAGACCATGAACCCTAGCAATCCTTCAGGTCTGTAACTGAACTCATCCTTGTGTGGAAGCACCAGTCATCTGTCTGGAAATAAGTTGGGCAACTTAACAATGACTATTTTCAATAGACTAACATTACACAATCGTTTGTCAAAGGCAAACACAAAAGTACCAACTGATGAGATTAAAACTCGAAGGTATTTAGAACATTTTGAATTCCTGAATTGAAAATTCACTAGTCTACTTAGGGTTTGTGTGTGTATGTGTGTGTGTGTGTGTGTGTGTGCACGCACATGCAAGTACAATACTGAAGGAGCTCTGTCAGGTAAGCACTGAACTGAGATGTACAAGAAGGATGAGCCAATCTGCTCCCATAAAGAAGGCCATACTCAAAAAGTCATTATAGGGTTACTATAAGTCAGAATCAACGTGATGAGAGTGGGTTTAAACAGTGAACGAGCTAATACATCCTGAAATTAGGAAATCTTAAACTGCCTCACCCACTCTGGCTAACTACACCTTGCACATTTGACTACCCAGGTTCATGCACATTTTCACAAGAATGGAATTAACCTTAGAAATTACTCTTTAAAAGGGATTGGAGAACATAGTATCGACTGTTTTGTTTGTTTAGTCACCTACAAAAAAGCAGAGTCACTTACAAATGATGGGTTTAACTTATTAATATGTCCTGCAATAGTCACCGCACCTTGACTTTGTGGTGGCTCCAGGACATCATCGGGATGTGGAGTGCAGAGTCCATGGAAAGGCTTCAAGTCAAAGCACTCGTGCAGTAGTTCCATGTTCACTCTGGAGCATACACTCATGAACCCAACAGCTATGCCTTCCACCTGAAACAAAAAATACCTCATTACTCCATCAGATCTAAAATTAGTTCTCATCATAAAACTTGCATGGACACATTTTGAGATCTTGTAAGGAATGAATAAGTGCCCCCTTTTTTAGTAGCTCTAGTGTCTTCCACAAAGTGCGGCACATAGAAAATTCTCAAAAAAATGTTCAATTAACTATCACCCTGGATAATCCCAGAGGTGGTCTGGGATATTGAAATGATGCCAAAGAGTTCTTTAGAGAAAACTAGTGGAACTTAACATGTGTTTTCCTTACACAGGCAATCTACTTTCCTACCCTCTACCAGGTACAATTCTCAGTAAACTTGCCCGTCAGTCAGTATCCATCTGAGCCATCTCTGAAATAGAAAATCAAGCTATAATAATTAATGGTCAGTAGTTTCATTGACAAAATAGATATTATGCAGAAAAATTAAATAAGAAAACTCAGGATGGATAAAAGATCTAAATTGTAAAACCTAAAACAATAAAAATTATCAAAGAAATAAGTCTCACTCAAGCTCACTGCTGTCAGGTAGATTCCGCCTCATGGTGACCCAATAGAACAGACTAGAACTGCTCCTGTGGGTTTTGAGACCAACTTTGTATGGGAGGAGGCAGCTTCATCTTTCTTCCACAGAGTGGCTAGTGGTTTTAACTGCTGGTCCTGAGGTGGGCAGCTCAACGCTAACTACTATGGCATAAATAAACTATCAAACATAGCCCCAAATATACAAATAGCAGAAGATGACTAGGGTATTCTAAATATAGATACGTACACATATCAAAACATTTCTCTGACAGACTAAAAAAGAGAAGTTACCAATAAAGAAAATATTTGGCAACAACATATCAGAAAAGAGACTAATTTTAAAATGTATAGAAAAGTTAAAAATCTCAAGACATTCAAAAACTAGAGGAAAATAGGATGTTTCATCATTGCTACACTGAACCCTGACTGGCTCATCTCCTCCCCACAGCCCTTCTGCAAGGGGAATGAATACTTCCTCCCTCCCACTATCATGATCCAATTCTACCTTACAAATACAGCTGGACCAGAGGATGTACACGGGTAGAGATAAGAACTGGAAACACAAGGAATCCAGGACATATGAACCCCTCAGGGCCACTGGTGAGAGTAGTGATACCAGGAGGGTGGAGGGAAGGTGAGGGAGAAAGGGGGAACAGATTACAAGGATCTACACATATTCTCCTCCCTGGGGGACAGACAGTGGGGAAGTGGGTGAAGAGAGACGTTGGACGGTGTAAAATATGACAAAATAAAAATAATTTATAAATTATCAAGGGTTCATGGGGGAGGGGGAAGCAGGGAGGAAGGGGAAAGAATAGGAGCTGGTGCCAAGGGCTCAAGTAAAAAGCAAATGTTTTGAGAATGAGGAGGGAAGTGAATGCACAAATGTGTTTTATACAATTGATGTATGTATGGATTGTGATAAGAGTTGTATGAGCCCCCAATGAACTGATTAAAAAAAGAAAATGATGGCAACATATGTACAAATGTACTTGATACAATTGATGGATGGAATATTATAAGAGCTGTAAGAGTCCCCAATTAAAGAAAAAAATTACAGGTTCAGAAGCCCTACACTTCAGAGTCATTATGAATTGAAAGGCCTCGCTGGCAGTGGGAAATGGGACCTTATTTCTGTATGCATTTGGCTGCCCCCTAGAGTGACATCTGCAGGGGAGATCATAGGACTGAGTGCAGTTGTCCCAAAGGGTTTCCAAAGTTGTAATGCCTTACAGCTTGAAAAAGGATATCATCAATGGTTGTACAACACAAAGAGTACAATTAAACGGCACTGTATTATACATGCAGAAGTTGTGGAATTCTAGAATGTTTTGTGGTGTATATTTTTACCAAACTTAGAAAAAAATTACATGAATAACAATGAGTACAAGGAGGAAGAAAATGTTCTAGATTTGAAATGTGGTGATAATTGTACAACTCTTCTTGATATGTTAAATTATTGTTTTGTGGATGAAGTGCTAGTAAAACTATTAAAGAAAAAACAACAAGCAAACAAACCTTAAGACAAAAGAGAAATTCTATTGAAAAACAGGTAGAAGATATTTCACCACAAAAAAATTCAAGAGGCAAGCAACAAAGCCCACATGGAAGAAGCACACCAGCCTATGCAACCACGAGGTGTCGAAGGGATCAGGTGTAAGGCATCATCAGAACA